GTAGTCGCTCAGCACCAGCACATGAAGCAGGCACTCTCATATAGGCTTTTCTGCATGTAACAAGAGCGCTCCATCTGTGCTAACACATCCATTTTCACTGTTAAATGATGTCAGTGTGAAACAACTCAGCAGAATTTTGTCCAGCACTTCTTTAGAATTCGCTTGCATTGAAAATCTTCGCAGTCCTCTTTTAGCTTCCGCTTAACTTGTCTCCACGGAACTATTCCATGTTTTAGTCTTATCCCTTTTCTGGTTCCTTACCTTTTCCAGTAGGACCAGGTGGGTGGCTCCGAAGACCTCATTAATCAACAAATGCCATCGCTCTCCTCTAACTTGTCACTTCATTTCCTCGTTAATCCCTTCGAATATTTTGCGTTAGCTTCCCAGTATCTTTTTTTGTAGCCGCAACATGCCCTACCTCTCGAAAATAAAATGACAAGCAAAGATTTTCGGTTAAGCCACTGACCGTAGGCTACGACTGCATAACTAATTCACACAGGGTCATGCTAAAATGCCCCTTAATTCCGCGGCAACGCGAGCTGCACAAAAAGCTGATTTTCAGCACTCATCTTCAAAATAGATGTATCATGCTTGGACTTGTGTGGCCGTTTGGACTTCTTCATTAACCAGCATCAATTACAAGAGACTCATTCGTCCGTTCTCATTACTGCTTAATGTGCTGGCGAATGATGAATTACAAATTTCACCAAAGATCCGCTGAAGGCATCTGAGTGACTGAGGGCGAATGTGATAATTGCCTTTCAAGACAGTGCTGCCCCACATTTAGTGGTCACTAAAAATCAATGGACCACAGGGAGAGGCGCATGGACTAGTAGCGGTGACTGTTCACTGCAACAAACGAGATGGCAACACTGGCGAGCAGCCACCACCTATTCACCTCAGATGACCTCAGCGTACAATCGATGGAAGAAGGGCAAATGGTGACTCCAAGGACAATTATTAACCACTTCTTAGTGCACGCGAGAAGTGCTGCTGCTGCTGCTGCTTGAGATGTCTACCTCTGACCTTACTCCAACAATCAATCGATAAGACAATTAATCAGTCCAGCGACCTTCCCCTCTAAACGAAACAGATCTGTACTATTCGTACAGCGCACAAAACCAAGCGCTCCCCACTGCACCAAAAAAGCAAACATGTTCAGAGCACTGCAAGGCAGCCTTTTTTTCCCCCAGTGAAAGCAGTGCGCTCTTCAACATTACGGGGAAGCGTACCGAAACATTTCTTCTTGTACATCAGAAGGCGTACTTTAATAGATTAGCACTGCAGAGCAACTGAGACCGGCCGAAGCATTAGCGTGCACCTCTCCATATTACGAAGTATAAAAAGGTACTGAAACCAACAACTAGCAAACGTTAAATAAAAACCGGTAAAAATGTCAAACACCAGAAAAAGCACGGCACAATGGTTCCTTGGAAATGTAAACCTGCCACCTCGCCCTCCCGATGGAAGAAGCCCGTGATGAAAATGCTGCAAAATCTGGTTGTCCCTAGCTTTCGGCAACTTCGCGATGAAAAACCATGAATAACTAGTGCAGAAAATTTACCATTCTGAGCGTGATTCATGAACACCTGCGGGAAAACAACTGGCTTGCCATTCGAAGGACCCTGCAGTCTTTCTGCAAAATACAGACAGCTTTAACCGACATCTTAAAAATAATTCAAACGAATTCAGCTCCGCGCTTCCTCAGAAATCGAAATTCCACCCAAGCTCGAAATTAAAAAGAACCACTAAGAAGAGTCGGAAAACTAGATCCTCGTCATCAAACTTTCCGACAAAACCGGGATATCAAAAACCCCTATCTGCATAAAAACATGCTGTCTGCTCCAGGATTCTCTTATACTATTTCCTGACTAGATGTAAAACAGTTCAAGGAGCTAGGTTACTCGTAGAAAGTGAAAATTCCGAATGTCTGTAAATGTCAGCATCTCATTTTTATCTCCTTCGCATGCCTTATACATTAGAGCTAGAGCTTTTTCATTTGTGATTAAACACAGCAGTATGTCATACACAAACTTTTTGGGCAAAATCCAATCGGTACTGTTAAAGTACCACGACCTCCAAAAAAGCCAATTTTTAGCCTTGCCTGCATAGCCTTGTTTGGGTAAAAATGCCACCAAGTCATTTTCTCTAAATCGTCCACCTGTTTGTCCGTTTTCATGTGGCGGCATCTTCTTTTCACTGTTCTCGCGTCTCATTAGAGCTTCGAGTTGCATATAAAAAGGCTCTTTGTTATCGTTGACCGTATTGAGTACTTTGTCGCCATTTTGATAAAGCATTCGAACCATTTCCATTTCAGCTGGTGTAAATCTTATATTCGTATCTTGCGGGACGATACCATTTGTTGTTTCTCGCCTGAATAAATGCGAACGCATAAAAGTTCATAGCTGGAAACTGGCAATTTCAAACTAAACGCAAAACCCCTCCTAACATTTAATTTTTTGCAGTGCAACACACATTGTTTCTCCCTTTAAATTGTTAGCAAATCAAATAAACAGCGCGCACCACGGCAGCCGGTACAATCATGCGTTCTGCACAGTTCTGACCAGCTAACGTTTGCCTGCTAAGGGTCTTCACTGTTTACACTGTGATCTGTGCAAGAATAATCGATATGCTGCTAGGTTCCTAAGCTGCGAATTTCCCATTAAAAATTCCACGTATCAGTACGTGAAACCCTTCCAAAACTTTAACCCCCTGATTTTCTGGCTTTCAAGTCACCTTTGTACCAAAACCATTATGTGATCGTACCTGAGATCTCGGCATAATTAGCAGCTAAATTTGAGTTTACGATTTTTCTGCATATGCAGAAAACATCCTTCTGAAGTTTTCATCCTCTCAGCTTTTTCCTCACCGTAATTTTTACGTGGCTGTATGTGATACTCACGCTTATGTGAGACCCAAACTTACGTGGAAGCTGAATTCGAACTTGCGGGGCCGCACGTGGGCAGGGGGCATTACCCTAAAATTTAAGCGGTTTCTGAGAGAATTTTTCCCGCCAAAACTTTTATACGTGGTAACCAGGTGAACGAGAAAGCTGGACTTAAATTTACGGTGTCGCACATCAGCAAAGAACATCACCCTAAAATTTCAACTCCCCAGCTTTCTTTCATGAATGCCGAAACAGCAATTTTCCTTGCCAAAACTTTTACGAGATTGTATGTTATATCCGAGTGTGTGGGAAGGCTTAATTTAAATTTCTGGGTCGTAGTTTGGCAGAGGATACTACTGTAAAATTTCAGCTTCCCAGCTTTCATGGTTACAGAGTCAATAATTTTTTCACCAAAAATTTTCCGGGGTCGTACGTGGTACCCGGGGTATGCATAGGTCGAATTTAAGTTTGTGGTATTGCACGTGAGCGAAAAACATTCAACTAAAATTTCAGCTTTCCTGGTTCCCGATTTGAAAGTGCGGGACAAAATACACCAAGACACACGTACATATATACACATACGCATACACGCACATACACAAACATACATACACATAGATACATAAACACACAGACAGAGGGGGTAACAATATGCACTTTGTGCTGCTGCTACACAGCGTAAAATGCATAAAAACTTTCCCGCGTATACAAAAAATTTCATCCTTAGAGAGCGCCCTTATGTTGTGACCCGGGTTATCAATGACACCTTTTTATCGGTAATGAATGAAATGTTATTTCAAGCGCACTGGCAAATTTATTTTTCTAGGATTTTCAGGTACAGAATTTAAAGTTGTCCTGAGTTCCCTACCACACTGAAATGATGGCCCGAATTAGTTGCTGAAACAAAATCAAGTAACCGAGGACGTCTCGTAGCAGTGTGCTTCAAAGTCTTACGAAAATTCAGCAATTTCACTACGTTTATGATTATTTCGCTATCAAGCGCTATTTTTGAAGTTCGCAAGAAAAAAAAAAACACGAATATTACCTCAATGCCTCAATTTTTCCTCTTGCGCCTGCCTGAATATTTTGGATTTTCTTCTTTAGCCTGTTTACACCAGACTGAATCCCAAATTCCTCAAAAAGTCGTACATCAATTGCATCCCACATTTCATGGCGCGCTTTACGATCTTCCTTCTTCTGACTACACGTTCGTAACAATGCTGAAAAAGCATCCGTAGCTGGCCTACAGATCGGTGATGCATATCAAATCGGAGCTTTCTTTTTTCCTTTTTTGAGAAACCGAAATCGGTGATGTGCAAATGCCACAAAAAAAAAAGAAAATTGCACCGAAATACCTCGACATCTTCTGTATAATTGTACCAGCCGTATGCACATCGGCATCGGGATGGTCATGCAACTTCCAGGCTCCTTCATTGGCCAATCTTCTACAAAATTCTTTTACAGTTTTGGAAAATCGCACGGCACATTTAACAAGCATTTTATTTCTCACTGAAACATTTTCAACAGCCGAATTGCATTCCCAGTTAACGAGGGCGCAACAGTACTTGCAGAAGGCTGACAGCCTGTCATATATGAAAACATGGAGTCTTACAAAATGCAACAAACTGGGCAAACTGCCACTCATCAAAAACACTACGCATCTCACTCCGAGATCGCTGATCACAAAAAATACGATGACACATCGCACAGTCCTTTTCACTCCCGCCGGTCAGGCCGCTCTGGCTATGTTAGCTAAACTGCATCGGCCATTTTGCACATTTCACACGTTTTTCATATCTACACGATCACAACGGAATTTGGCAGCATCACTTAACAGTTACGTGGCTGCAATCGTCACTCCCTTCATCCACATTTCAGTTGTCAATCAATCCACAAATGCAGTAACTCTCCGTAAATCTAAAGTCTTAAGGAAAAAACCTCTAGCGCTCCCAGAATCACCTCTTGTTTTCTTTGGTCTCGGCTCATCCGAAGTATTCACTCCAGAATCTGGACTCTGAAACAAAATACACTTCCAGTGATATTGCATAACCGGGGAAAAAAAAAGAGAAAAAGGACACCTTAAAACATTATGAAAACCGCCATATTCAAGCTAGCTGGAGGCACAGAAAGTGTGAGTAGGCCACAGTACACAAACCTGGGTGAGCTGACAATTTAAAGGACAAACCTCAGTATGTTCACTAAAAATACTGTCAAAGAAATTCTGCATCTCGTCACTTCCTGGACTGTTATCCACTGCAGCACAGGAACGCTTCCCATCAGTACTGCGAAATTTGGCTGAAAGAGCAAACCTCAAGCACTCCTTAAAGCGCAACACCTCTTGGCACACTGTAAACTATAAATGCAGTAGAAGTCCCATTATATGACAGCTAACTTGCAAAAAACACAGACTAGCGATGAAACTGAGCTAAATCTCAACAAAAGCATTCTGAAGAAGCTTCACACCTGGTTGACTGTTTGCACTGAGCAGTCGGGAAATGTTGCCTAAAATCTGATCTGCAAAGAAATTTGACACCTCGCCATTCACGTCACTCCCGTTTGCCGGACAACCTTCATTGGAATTGCACCTCTGGAAAAGATCGCTTAGCTGGCCCGGAGTTTCATCCTGCAACACCAAAAACACTGTCAAGCAACAGCAGCCCATCAAAATATGCAAAATAAATGCGCCCACTTGAGCACCACCATTTCTTGGATGCGAAAAGCGCCTTCGGAGGGGCAAAAAAAAAAATGCTCAGCGATCAGGAACGATCAACGGAGAGGCAAATGTTGGGTATCAGCAAACTGCAACACAAGCAACGGCCACATCCCAGTGCAAAAAGACAATGAGTGTGTGCGCCAGGAAGATAAGCTGCGGCTGGCTGGCTGCCGGTACGAGAGCAGTACGAATGGAGGCTACGCGGCATTCACGGTGTGGAAAAGGAGCAGTAGAAAAAGACCAATTTGGTGAGATGCAAAAAGCACAAGGCCCCGGCCAGTGGAGCTGCTGCAGCTCGGTCCAAACTGGGAACTGACAAAACCATCACATTTTCGCTTGCCTTTTGTAACCAGCGCACTCCTCAATTACTGGTGCCCCCGGGCGATAACGCAATTAGAAGTGCGCAGTCTGTGATGAGCCCAACTGAGAGATTACCTCATCAGGCGCAATATCGGATCCAGACACTTCTTCAGGACCAGCCCTCATATCCGCTTCGCATCTGCTCGTTACGTCCACCGACTCCCTTCAACAACTGATTATTACACAGGGCTGTAGTAAAATCACCAATTAGCAAATTCCCCAAATGCCCCGCGAAGCAGTGCAGCGAACAGCGCTATCAAGCACTGGGACTGCATGTCGAGCCAGCCCATGTCGTCCTGTGCGGTGAAAAAGGGGCAGCGAAACCTCTCCACGCTTTGCATTCACTGCGCGCCCCTCGGCCTCTCAAACCCAGTTGACAGCACTATTTATACCATATTCCAGCAGCCCCTTCGCCCGACCCCTCTCCCCTGTCCTCCGACCCAGCTCGCTCCAAGAAAACTGCTGCACCACCGGGGTGCATGGTCTGCGGCGGGTCTGCACAGTGCTGCCTCTTTTCCGGAAACAGTTAAGCACTTACTTCTTGATGACCATGCGATGGGTGCGTCGACGATGGGGCATCCGTCCCCCCTGCAAAGCACATGCATAAGCGCGCATCACGCACGCATCGTTGTGAACGTGCAATTCTACAGGAAACACACAGAACCAGTCCAAGCATAGAGTGATCCGCGGGCAAAAACGAGGCAAACTGAGGGGAAGAGTGAGGGCAGCGACATGCCTGGCAACAGGAACGCGCGGGAACGTGGGGTGCTCGGGGCGGAGGAGTGGTGGCTGCCCCTGCAACGCAGGACGGCAACACGCACTGAGTGACACTGTACGGTGCTGGCGGCAGCCTGAGCGACGAAAACTGCTCGAGGATCAGGGTACCCGGACAGCGGCCCACCGCGCGACCCCTTCCCGCCGGAAGCGCAGAGTAGTCGCCGGCCAGGCCTGAGCGACGCCGCCAGGGGAAGCGCACCACTGCTGCAAAATGCGACGCAGCGGCGGCGGCTGCGGCAACAGCCAACACGGCCTCCACTGATAGTGTGCCTGGGGGAATCGATAGCACTAGGCGGGGGCGGCGCGGCGCGGCCCGCACGCACTAGCGAGACTGCTGCCACTAGCGGACGAGCGAATCCAGCAGCAGCAACTCGGAAGTATGCCGCCCCTGCCTCCCTCGCTCTCATCGTGACCTTCGCATCACCCCCCTCCCTCCTCGACGACAACGACGACGACAAACACCCAGTCGGCCACTCCCCAATCGCTCGCAGCCGTACCGTCCGCGCACATAGTGCAACAGTTGCAGTCTCAGGTGTCCAAGTGTATCACGTTGAGCGGGTGCGTTGAGT